CTGCCACTAATTCACGCCCTCTCGGAGTCCCTTCACTTGATATTAATAAAAGATTGCCGCTGTCATCTGATGGAACTCGGATTATTAATGGATCCATCGTTACCGTTTTTATAATACATATCTTCAAGTTTTATTTACATTTGTATGAGTGCATAATGTGAAGCTTGTTTTTAGTGAAACAGACGAACACATTCAACGATTGGGTTTTGTATTTTCAATGATATTAAGTTTTAATTTCGTTTATTGACATTAAATAATTGTATTGAAAATAAGAATAATCTAATGCATATATGAAACATGGAACAACAAAGTTTTCTAAACGTAAAAACGAAATTATAGAACGAGAGCATAAGACTTGTTAATTTCTTAACAGCTCTCGTATCTGAAAGGCTCTATTCTTGTTGAGTCACGGAGTTTAGTAACTACATACAAACAATAAAGTACTTGCAGTTTAATGCACAGACTTAGTTTCTGAACATTAATTAAAAGGGTCTTGGAAATTTTTAATTGTCTTTAATTAACAATCTTTAGATATATAATGGTTACTTCTTCTTACATAACTCCTTATTAGCAATTCCTAATCGGAAACATAATTCATGTTTTAAAATAATTAATGATGAATAGAAGTTTCAAGCAACAAATCGTTTCGATATACAAAACAGATATTTCCCTTCACTGTTTAAACATGTAAATTTGCTTCTATAATTGGAGAAAGTTTTCAAGAAATGTTATGTTATATAGCAAAAACTGTATCTGTTTTTAAGAAGTAATTTTAAGTATCTACTTCTTTAACTAAAGCACACAGAATATATGTAATTATCTTTAGGTTTGGTTGAATTGCATGTTTGCGAAGGGGAGTTTAAAATGAGTGCATATGAGTTCCTTAACTGACCGCTTGTATCTGTAACACTGATAAACTACATAGTTATGGTAAATTACGATTCAATAGATTTCAAATAATTCCGATAGTGTTACTGGGTACATTAAAGATGATAAAAACACAACAATTTTTAAAGCAACATATTAAGATTTTGACTATCTCTGCAGCATGTAACAATACTATTTACTGTTATCCTTTCCTTTAGTTATATTATTTTAAAACTAATGTATTTTTAAAAGCAAAAGTCATACTGTTACGTGTACATCAATTGAATAAATAAATTATAACGGACTAGTTATAAAACTAAGATTCTGAAGCTGGGAACAGCTTTTCATGACCACGTTTTTCTTTCGTGATAAATTGTATTATGTTATAAAGAGACGCTTAATAATTTATTTATTTATTTATTTCCATTTCAAGTAACAATGACTCATTTAAAAAATAATACATAAATTGTTAATAAAAATAATAATACATAAATTCTTAAAATATAATAATTAATTAATTCATTTGTAAAATTAGCTGATCGGCTGAGCCCCACATACGCGAATCACCACTGTCCCATCCCGTGAGATATGATAATGCTCCGTCAGCTAAATTCAGTTGTGTTCCTGGAAGTGGCTGCAGCCTCTTATACTAAAAAAAAATAATTTTCATTTTTTCCCCTCTGAATATTAACCACCTCACAGTTGGAAATTATAAATTTATTATATAACAGTTTACCTGATATTGTATATAAATAAACTGACAGTTAGATATACAGTCGCGGGAAAATTGACAGCTGATTTTATGAAAGGTACACAGAACGCGGTAGTTCGGCGAAAGTATGTATCGCTTACTTAAATCTGTTATTTGATGTATTTTCCATCTGTATATTATTAGATGAATTTTTATTGTACTAGGTACATTGTAACAACTTTTTAAGTGACAGCATCTATGTATTATAACTAATTTTCACGAAACTACATGAGTTGTGCATCAGTGATGAATTTCATTTTTGTTAGTACCTACATCGGACTGATAGAACATTTTAGTAACTGTTACTTTTATATTTCGGTTTTCAGAATATGTTAAATTGTTTTCCAGTTATAATACTAGAGACTTGTACCTTATATTATTTATTTTCTTTACTGTCCCGGTCGCGGTTATCAGTAAATTTTCTTACCGCCTTATATAAAACGCCACCGTTGTCTGAAATATTCCAAGTCGGATCAATAACTCATGAAAAGTGCAAATCTGCAGCGCAATTTTTGCAATCGCAAGGTCGTACGTCACTTCAATGTGGTTAAATCTATTGCGCTCTATCTCCTTTAGGTGGGAATTGACGTACATAAACCGGTACAAATAAAATAACACGGGTTGCTGCTAGCTTTGACAAGAAATGTTCGGAGCAATAACTTGGAAAAGTTGTTTTAAAATTAGCTTTAAACGTTTCAATATAGAAGGAACTTAACTACTTGTCACAGTGGCTGTTTTGATAAATTATGAATCCATCAATAATAGTTATTTCTCTGACTTAAATTAACTTTTTATGTGATTTGAACCGAATATCGAACAAATTTTTCTCTATTCAAGTCAAAGCATGCAACTCAAGTTCTAGAAAAATATTGAGATTCGATGTACATACAGAATTAAAGTTATCTGACCACATGTTACCAACTAACCAGATAAAAATATTTTTAATAATGCTCCTACATGACGGTTCACAAAAAAAATTAGTGAAAGACACTATAAAGATAGTACATCCAAGTTAAATATTAAAAATGACAACTATAGGTTTATATATACATACGTAGCGATGTATAATAATATGAAACTAACAGTCAAAACTTTTCTGTCAACAATATAGTAATTTTTTATAGTAATAAATTGAAACCATTTAATATTTTAAAGTAATTATTAAATCCTCTTTAAAATAAGCATACCATTGCATTAAAATTTGAAAATATAGTTTTCTTTGTTTAGAAAAGACAATCAAGACTAATCTAAATTTAATTAAAAAATTAATTGCGGTCCCCTTACCCATAAAACCTTTCATTCTCGTTCTTTTTTAATTTGAATAATATACAAGCTACAGTAACACACAATTATTCCAATTTTTCTCATGTTTATGATCTAATAACTTTACACTTTTATAATGTTGTAACGCTTTACTATTAAAGAAACCTTTTCTACTATAATCGTTCAAGTATTTTATATTAATCGTGTAATTCTTTGCTTAAACTTATTATCGATTCAGAATTAATCTCCAAATTTGCATGGCAATAACGTCCTACCCACCCTTACTCCATGAATATGGAATATGTACACATGATGTTGGAAATAGAATTAATGATTGAATATCTTATTACGATTGTTGTAATTAAAAGATTTGTACAAAAGTACAGAAACATAACGAAGTTCATACTGTGATACACTTTTCTGGCGTTTAAATTGTTGATTTTGTATTCTGTAAAAATAATAAATGCGGATATGAGTGAGCACAACGATTAAAATATTTATTTCTGAAATTGCAACTTGTAATAAATTTTGAAACAAGATTAATATTTAGAAACAAGCAATAACAATCTTTAGTTAACTTTGGTTACCCTTGAATTCACAGCTCAATATACAAATAACAATCGATTAGTAACAAAATAATTCGTTTTCCACATCATAAAATCCAATAAACGTCACTTCAGATATATCGTTTTATATGTATATTATTACAAACATTTAAAATGTTAAGTAATGTTACATATTTATAACGCTGCTAGCCATTTAAAATTTGAAACTTACATACAAGACATTTTGTTTTGTGTGGTCTAATGATCTGCCGTTGTGGATCCTTCCAAAGCAGTAATTGGTATCACCACGTGCTTCATTTCGCTTGTGTATTTACTTACTAAGTACTGTGAGTGATCACGTGTACCGTGTTAATTCATCATTTCGTGTAGGCATCGTGGAATTTGCCTCTATCCTTGAAAACTTAGGGTCGTATAAAATTGAACTGTATATTTAAACTTATTTAATATAAAAAGGCCATAGAAGCTAGCTAACCTAACCGCTGACTTTCAATCAAGATACTCATCTTAGTACATAATGCTCTTCAAATTGTCAGTGGCGAATCAACATTATTTATCTAATATTACATACATCAGTTTCTCTTTGTTAACGTCATTCTATTAGTCATGATTAGTAACAGTAATTTTAGTTTAAGACTAAACTAAAACTAAAATCATATATAAGGAAACTTTTCAGAAAGCCGAGAATTTTTCCTCATGAGTTAACAGTCGTCATCTTGTCAATACATCATCAGTCACTTTCATTACCTGTCCTTGCTAGAGTCAATATCCAAACATATTGTTCTTCAAAGTAGTATAAATAAGTGTTGAAAAAGAAAGAAAGATATTCAGAAAGAATTAATTAAAACAATGAATGGGAGAAGACCTCCATCAAAAAGTGTTCTTTGAAACTTTTCTCTGGATAGAATTTAATTAAGTAATTTAGTAATTTTTATTATTTAAAAATCAAGTAAATAAAATGTTTAACAAGTTCTTTTATTTAATGCTCTCTAGACAGTAACTTTATTCTCTCAAAATATTTCTTTCTATACGTGTATGTATTTACATCTGAGCAATCGTAAATTTTAAAACAGATGACATATTTTCAACAATATTGTAAACGTTGAATCAAATTTGGTAGGTGGTAGAGCCTCGCTGTAGTCAGTTACTACAGCTCGAACAGGGGCTGGTTCGACCGGGGAAGTACCACCCTCTCACAGAAGATCGGCGTGAAGTAGCCTTTAACCTTCAAGCGGGCGCGTGTAGTTGAATCGACCGCGCTTAGTACATTTTCGTTCATATTACTATTATTACCTATTACATTTATTTCTCACTTCTAGTAGCCTGTCGCTATATTATTTTGAGTAAAACAAAGAATAGACCGTTGCTCGGAGTGCTCTCTCCCCTCCATAGATCGCAATTGTTTTAGTTGCGGCGCAGTCGTCGAAAAGATTACACGCGCCTGTCGTCGAAAAGGTTACGCGCGACGGTCAATGCGACATACCCTTGTTCCGCTCATACATTAGTTGCGGCCATTATTCAGTATTATCGAAGCAATCTTGTATTTTTTATATAAAATGAGTCATGGGCGGTTATCACAAAGTGCAATACTCGAGCAATTACTCAAAGAAGACGAAGAAGAGAGTGAATCAGAGCTTAGCGACCAAGGCTCTGAAACTTCCGACCACATTGTTGCAGAGGAACCTCTACCTGCTGAAGAATCAAACGTCTCGGACTCAGAAGAGGGTGATTTACCACTTTCAGAAATAAATACCTACTTTATAGCATTGTTACTTTTTACAATAAAACAAAGGGGGGTGTCGACGAGGTTGATAAAAAAGTAAAAATGTATTCGGTTTCAAGAAAGAATAATATGTAGATGGCCATTAACACTAGTCTTTCGTCTTCTGGATACTGCAGGAATAAATAGTATGGTGATATTGAGAGCGAATAATGTGACTCTACGGAAAAGGCGGATGTATTTACGGGCATTAGGCACTGAATTGATAAAAGAGTACATCCAAAAGAGATCAACGATAGCGGGCCTTCCCAGAAAACTAAAAAGAAACATAAGGGAGTATCTGAATATAGAAGAAGGCACTGCTGGTACTGAAGCAGCTAGTTCTGGTACATGCAGAGGAATCTGTAAAATATGTCCAGCCAAAAAGAGGAGGCAATCGAAAACGCAATGTAAATTGTGTATGAAAAATATTTGCAGAAGTCATTCAACTTTCATTTGCAATCAATGTTATATAGACAAAGAAACTGATTCTGATAAAAACTAGACTTATAATTCACTTTTATTTTGTATTTTTTATAATAACATTAGGTATATATACTAGTCTGAGATACGTTAAAGGGCTTTGTGTTCCTTATTTTTGTTTTAATCCAAAGAATATTTGTGTTATGTTAATAAGTTAAGTAATTGTTTCTTTTTCATAACTTTAATACTTTTTTGAAAAATTAGACTATAAAAACAATGATTATATATCTAAGTACAAATAAATAAATAATTATTGAATTATAAGGGCTTTATTTCTTTTATTCATCCCATACGTCTTTTCGGTTACGCGCGCCCGCTCCCGTTAGAAATGACCGCGCGCCCGCTTGAAGGTTAATGGCTGCGTTTCGTCTGATGAGTGAGAGAGCCGGTTGCCCTTTCCCTATTCCTACCCTTTACTTTCATTTCCTTATTCCCACCCCTCCCTTCCCCAAAAAACAAGGTTGGCAACGCATCCGCAACAAAATGTTGCGGATGTCCATGGGCGACGGTGACCACCTTCCATCAAGTGGGCCGTCTGCTCGTTTGCCACCTTTCACATAAAAAAAAAATATATAATTAATTTCTTTATATTATTTATATTCACAGATTTCGTAAACTAATCATAATAAAAATATATTATAATATAATTCTTAAAGAAAATAAAGCTCTTTTGAACCTTAAAGTACATAATATAAAATCTAAAAGCCGACTGTAAAATACAAACACAAAAAGATTGAATTTATTCATGTTAGACAATGTTTTCTTTTATCCTATTATGTAACTACGCCTCCAACTAACTTTTTGTATTATCCTTTGTTTTGATGGGTTTAGAAAATAATAATGTCTCTATTATATCTGCCTTATATGTATCTACTAGATTAATATCGGTGTGTAGTAGGTAGTCACGAGACTATCACGTTCCCTCCTACTTATGTGTACCTCTAACGCTCAAAGAGGAAACAGTCAAACAAAATCATTATAAATTATAAAAATGATAAACAATGCTAGTATGGTACTTTTCGATATGGAGTTATTATTTACTAGTTTGCCTTTTGTTTATTGCATTAATTTTGTAATGAGAAAGTATTAACACAATAATATAGACGACTACAGAATAGTCAGAGTTACTTCAGAATACCTTACATCGGCTATCTTATACGGAAGGAATGAATACTACACACAAGTAGACGGATTTGATTAAGATTCACTGGTCTCCCCCGTTGTTGCTGAAAGATTTATAGTATAGTAGGACTTTAAGGCACCTTTGCTCTGCAACAACATCAACATAACCCTTAATACATAATATACGTTCACAATATTGCATAAACATTAAACATCTCCTTTACTTAATCACATTAGTTCTATTCATACCAAGATTCAATTGACTATTAAATCAGAAGCAAATAATTCTTTAGCTGTTCTTGATTTACTTATCATTTGGAGTCGTAACAAAATTATCTTTAACATGCAGTTTGTGGGAAACTCACACATTGCGATAGTTATCTAAATGGAAAATCATATCACAGCCATGGTCAGGTGGGTAGGTACTCTTAGAAAATACTTGTTTCACTTTCAGGGGATCTGGGAGAGGTAGGGAGGGAGGGTTTCTGTGTGCGTTGTTGATATAGACTCGGTATACTCCAATGAACACTGAACGCGGAATTCAGACCTCGGAACTTTTGACCTGCTCTCTGTAGGCGCGACCTCTAAATCATGCTTGATTGCTCGTGCCTCAGCCACCGTAGCAATCAAGAAGAATTTGAGCTATAAGAATATCGTAATACCCATAGTTGAGCGACAACCTTCTACGTTGCAGTACGTGAGGAATGTTTTCATAAAACAATATTCATATATACCATATAAACTGGGAATTCCATGTCTTGAAACCAAATAAGGGTATCATTCTTTTACAATAAGCGGGTGTTAAAGAACATCTTCAATGTATCGTAGTCACCCGTGTTTGAACACATAAGGGAAACACCAAGCCCCTACTGTATATGGTTTGACCAGCCACAGACTCTCACAAAACACGCCATGTACATAACGAAATTATTTCGAGTGTCTATTGAAATAAAAAATCCTACTTTTACAGAGTAGACGGCTGGAAATTATCTAACACCTGAAATCCCCTCATCACAATGTAAAATCCTATGTATATACTGCAATATCTGAAGGCACAATAAACGCATTCTTCGTGCATCCAGAGCAATTGAGGAGAAAGTACAGAAATCGTAAGTGACAAAAGACAAGACTAACTGTCAAACACTTTCATCTGATCACTAGTTCTGTAAAGTACCGAAACGTCGTGAAAATTTAAAAATAATAATATAAATGACGGATATAATATGTAACTGAAAAAATGTACTCTCGAAAAGATCCCATATCATTATGCACTTAACTAATTTTATTTATTTTGGTTTTAAAATGACGGCATTAAAGTACTGGAATCGATAAACATAGACATTTCATTGTTTTTATATATGTAGATCTGAGTTTTATTTGAATCGTAATCGTTTACATACAAGTATAATCAAAGCTTGTAGAGAATTATTTATTCAGATTTAAGTCGCGTGTTTCATTTACATTTAAATTTCAGTTCGAAGATACGTTTTCTTTGAAGATATCTTGTTCATGAAAAAGAGAAAATGAATTTTACGATTTCTCGTCATACATAATTTTCATCTTGTTCTTCTAAACGCTTCGTTTTAAATTATAAAAAAGTCTTAAAAACATCTCATGCAAATAAAAAAATTAAGTTGAAAATATTACAGGACAACTAGCTGCGCCCCGCGGTGTTACCCGCGGATTTTCGGGATGTAAAGTAGCCTGTGTGTTATCCCTGGACGTCTGCTTCCTGTATACAAAATTTTATCAAAATCGGTTCAGCCGTTTGAGCGTAAAGAAGTAACAAATATACACACACACTCACAAACTTTCTCAATTATAATATTAGTAGGATATTAGTTATAATTAATAATATAATCAAAGAAAGACTTACAATGTTTGTGTATGTGAAAAGAGTTTTAAAATAAAAATGTTTGCTTATACTTATAATATTGCTTATAGTAGGAGTGGAATTGTTTTTATGTTACGAAATAGTCCGATAATTATTTTCTATTTAAATATTTCTGATACACTATGTCCTATTATTTATTTTTGAAATATTATAAAAGTTTACCTCGTAAGACCATTACTTTAATAGTGACGGAAGCTATCACCAAATTAAAAAACAATTAAAAGTGACTGTAACAAATAAGCGAGTAATAAAGTCATACTTTCAAATTTTCTTCAAAATTTTAGGAGGTACCTTATTTAATTTTGTTCCTGATGTAAATAGTTAATTGTTTTAAAAAAATATATATTTTTGTTAAATTACTCATGGAACTGGACACAGAGTCGAGCGTTGTAATCAGAGAGTAGAACAGTAACTAGGTTTTTATTTGCATCATAATTAGTAATCAATATAACACTTTCATAATAAATATTAATTATTTACGTCAGACACTTATTAATATTATAAATTAACAATAAGTACTTATGTGAGAAAACCACGAAATAATTGGTAAAACATAATATATGCGTAAATACGACACAATTACATATTAAAAACCGTCGAAGTGATGAATTCACTTGAATAATTCATGACATTCTCTTTAGCCTCACCAAATTATATATAAAAGATAGTATTATAAGAGAAGGGCCTCGGACCAAACTACAACAACTGTCAGGAACAGTGTTCATGACGGGAGACATTAAAGGGACATTAAAATATATTGTTATAAGTACAATATATTTATATTTACTTATAATTCATCACAATATCAAAGTTGACAAAAACATCGTAAAATAAGAGGAGCAGAAGCGTCAATGAAATTTTAATTAAATATAAAATAATGATTGTTAAAAAAAGACTGTAAGACTGTACTTTTAGAAACATCATTAAAAATAATATTCTTAAGAATAATGTTCTACACATTATGACTATATAATAATTGAGTTTACAAGAAAATAACAACAATTTATGTTACTGACTCTAAACTTTATCAACTTAAACTTATAGTAAAATAAAACAACCTGAAAATCTGATACAACACTTATAATAGATTTAAAACGCTCTTCGATGATCAAAGATCGATTAATCTATCACACCAACGTTCGTTACGTACAAAAAGAGAGCCCTGATCTTCGTTGAGAACTGCTTATATGTTGGGTTCACCTCTCTCCTTCTCTCGTCTTGATACAATATATTTTTCAATAAAGTAAAAATATGTTGCTTCTATCATCATTCTATCATTATCTAAAGTTTAGATATATTGCCTCTGAGAGATTTTACAGTTAACTTTATTTTAGATTAGTATCTATGCCTACTAGAATGACATTATTCAAATTCAAACACAAAATTAGCGGTTAAGCCCACAGTGACTGGTTTATTATTTTTTTGTGTATATCTATATTAATATTTTGTGTATATATACATTATATCTACATTAATATAAAAGGATTAGAAGAGATTACCATTGACACTCAAATGACTATGTTTAACTCGCGAGAAGGCAGGTAGCGATGTTGCTACATTATGATAGACTTAGTGGATAACTTAACGCTTATCAGGCTAACTAATTGATAATAATTTGTTTTGATAAATAATAGTCTCTCCTATAATTTCAATAAATTAATATAACATAATGTTTACTTTTATGTCAGCGATGGTTTCCAAGCATTCCTCAAAATAAGCCAGAAGCTAATATCACGCGTATTTAGTAAAAATCAGAAATCCTCTATTTACTTACGATACGTAGCAATTTAACTAAAATAAATAGTCGGTTTACTTATGTGGAGATAACTTTTAACTCTATCTCACATTTTAGATAAAGTTAAATATAATTTACTCATGTTTTATATATATTTAATTACTTTTAGAAAGTAATGTTTAATTATAAAATACGTTACGCCTTCAGTTAACACTCTGAAACATAGAAACTATTTCAGTAACTTCTATGTATATAACAGTGAATATAATTTTGGATTAGAACACGTCTGTAGAAGACTGTGGTGACTTTAACGGTGACTGTGTGTCAGAGACTCAATAAAGAAACCATTATTGAAGAACGCGCTATTTAAAATGCTGTTTTCTCATTAAGGAACGAAAGTCTATCAAAAGCAGTTTTATAACTATTGCTTCAGGATAATTTGAATGAAGCAATGGTACAGTACAATTAATAAAAGCTAAAAGCAATATCATTTCCACCACTTTTACCACGGTAAGCAAAACCTTCGAAAGTTGTTTTTGTTACTAGTTTACTTTGGGTATCTCTATTTTTATTCAGTTATCTAGAGAAAATACGAAAACGTTTAATTACTTTAGGCCTCTCTTTACGCACTAGTAGATGTATTTGGAAGAGTAATTGGCCTGAACAAATCTTATCTATTAATTTAAACATAAAATATATCTGTCTTTGTAGTATTTCATGTGAATGATTTTCATGTAAAAAAGTATTCGATAAATTTATACAAAACAGCAGTAAACACTTTATTAGTTTTGAATTTAGGCATGAACGAAATATCAGTGAAATTGCACGGTCCATACTCCTACTGGTTCAAGATATATATCAGGAAAAAG